CCCCAAAACCCCAAAACCCCAAAACCCCAAAACCCCCTAATCTAGAATTTAACAATAATAACAGAAAATCGTAGTTAAAAAAATAATCTACAACTTAATTAGTATTAGAAGGAAGAAATTATACTCATTTATTTTTATATTTATGATCTTATTAGAAAGGACTTTTGCTTCTCACTGATTTTAGGGGTCAATCGGCCTTTGGTTCTATTGGCTACTCTCTATTTCTTCTATTATTCTTAACTGATCTAGAATTTCCTTTTCACTCTCTTGTCTGCTCATTTACTTTTAAGATTCTGCTATTGCTATTTGAATATCATTCATTTCTCTAGCATTGATATCTTGATTAACAGGCAATACAATAGGCTCATTTAGTTGATTTTAATTAAATTGTAATTGTGCATTGTTGTTTAGCATTTGAGTATGATTATCATTTTATTAATGAATTTGCTAAACAATAGGTGGTATCTAGTTTTAAATAACTTGTGCCTAACGTTTATTATTTTATTGAGCTGCTCGCTAAATTTATTCATTTTCTCTTTTCCTTTGCTTCCTTAAATTGCTTCTTCTAGCACAGAAATATACAACCATTCCAACTATGATAAGTATAAGACCCCCTCCAGAGGCGATTGCAGCTATTAATATTGTTTGATTATTATCATCAGTGGACTTAATATCACCTGAAACAGTATCAGACTAAAAGTAGACAGTATTTGATGAGTTGAATTAATTGTTCGTAATGTATCTGTAATCTGCTAAACCTATTCTAGGACCATTCATCTCATAGGTTTGATAGTAACCTCTCAAAAAATTATCTCCTAGCAACCAATAAGTAGATTTACTTGAAGTGTCCTCAATAAATTAAATTTAACATCCAGGATAACCTTAATAAGTTTGAAGATATTAAAATGGCTAGATAGTGAATTATTCTCCAGCAAGATTCATATAGATTGTTGGATAAGTTGAGTCATTGCTATTTGAGCATTGGCAGAACTGATATCCAGAAAGTTCTGTGCAACTTTTTCCATTAGTGATAAAGGAGAATATAGTTTTATATTCTACAGTTGGTATGTAGGTGAGTGAGGTACCAGAGTCTAAAATTGCATCCTTGCTTTTACTGAGAGGGATTGACACTCCGTTTATGATAACATTTGTTAAAGCAACCTACCAATGATATGTAGATGTAAGCTTAAGCCATTTCAATGGACCATAGTCATTGGTAGTTGGTAATAAGAAAGTTCCCACCCAAAGCTTTGATTTCTGATTCGTATTTCCAATGAAAATTGTGAAACCATAAGATTTAATTCTTCCTTGCTGATACAATTGTTGAATGAATAGATCTTGCTGTTTATTTCCAATCTTTGAAACTCCTAACCCAACGAGACCATCAGATTCTAATGTCTATCAATATTATTATGAATTTAATGAATAAATTAGTTTAGAATAGGATTTATTGGGATATTAAGATTACTTACGTGAACATCTCCTCCACCATAAACAGAGAGAAAACTAAAATTTGTCACATTGAATAAATCGCTTTAATCTATTGCAAAATGTTCTTTTGCTACAAAGCCAGTCACATTTCCTTAAGCATACTATGTTTAGATAAATAACATTGATTTTACAGTGATTTATTAAACACTTGTAGTTTGAGCATAAGAGCTGGATGTGCTTGTATTAAATCTCTAATTAGTACATTCATTTGCAGGACATTAAGTGTTTGGTAACCAAACCCACTTTAAGGAATAATAATTAAGAGAAAATTACAGATGAACCTGTGTCAAACATAAATGTAAATTTCTTTCCTGGTGTACCGACATAAAGAGTTCCATAATATTGAATGTTATTGTAGTTCTTCAAGCTCAGCTCAACAGAATCTTACAAAAAGCGATCTATTCTGATATAAATAACTATGAATAGTTTACTATGGCTTTGATAAAGATCTTTATTTCTGAAGTTTAATAGACGACTTGGTCCTAACACTTCTTTTCTGCTCAATTCTATCTCCATAAAGTCACTATTCTTGACTTATTGCGTCTTTTATTCCAGATTCGACTATTCTAATGCTTTAACTTGCAGAGATAGCATGGCAATGCTGGTAATTGTGAATATTTAGAGCATTTATGAAAATTTTTCTGCACTTTAAGGTTGTATAAATAATAATTTCATTCTATTTTAATCTTAAATACTATTCTGATTTATCTAATTATTAACCCAACTCATTTATGGCTCATTGAAATTACTGGTTATTTCTATCGACTTCTATTCTTCATTAATGGCATTTGGGGTTTTGGGGTTTTGGGG